TGACAAATGTGAGAAAGGGTTTCTTGAGCTAAAGAAACGACTTACTGAGGCACCAGTTATTGCCCTACCAATACAAGGTATCAGGTATGATATTTATAGTGATGCTAGCATCCAAGGGCTTGGATGTGTACTAATGCAAAGGAGAAAGGTGATTGCCTATGCTTCTAGGCAATTGAGGAAACACGAGGTGAACTACCCTACCCATGACCTAGAGTTGGGAGCGGTAGTGTTTGCACTAAAGATTTGGAGGCATTATCTCTACGGGGAGACATGTCACATCTACACCGATCATAATAGCTTGAAGCATGTATTCACTCAGAAAGAGCTGAATATGATGCAAAGGAGATGGATGGAGTTGATCAATGACTATGACTTGATCATCGACTATCATCCCGGTAAGGCCAATGTGGTGGCCGATGCATTGAGCAGGAAGAGTACGTCGGGGACGTTACTCACATGCCTACGGGCATTGAGGGCACACATGGAGGTGACCACGATTGGGGACCTCGTAGCGAGGTTCGAGGTTAGACCTACCTTGATGGATGATATTAGCAGATGTCAAGGAAATGATGACGAATGTCAGAAGATCTGTGAACGGATCGCTGTGGGACCCGTTGAGGATTTCTGGGTAAGAGAAGATGGTCTTTTATTGTTTAGAGATCGTGTATGTATACTGAAGAATGAAGAGCTCCAAAAGTCCATACTAGAGGAGGCTCATTCTTCGGCCTATGCTATGCATCCAGGAGGTACAAAGATGTACCGAGACTTGAAGGAAAGTTATTGGTGGTCAGGTATGAAGAGGGACATCGTAGAGTATGTGAGTCGATGCCTTACTTGCCAGCAAGTTAAGGCGGAGCATCAGCACCCGATGGGGCTCTTGCAGCCACTTACCATTCCAGAATGGAAGTGGGAACATGTGACCAAGCTCGAGGATATCGAGCTTGTTGAGATCACTAAGGCTAAGGTGAAGATCATTCTGGATAGACTTAAGGCTGCCCAAGATCGGCAGAAGAGCTATGATGATAAACGACGTAGACTGTTGGAGTTTGAAGTTGGTGACGAGGTGTTTCTAAGGATTTCTCCTTGGAAAGGCATCATCCGATTCATATCGAGGGGGAAGCTTAACCCCCGATACATTGGTCCGTTTGAGATCCTTGAAAGGATTGGAACCGTGGCTTATCGGCTCAAGTTGACACATGAACTTGAGAAGATACATGACGTATTTCATATATCAATGCTCAAGAAGTATGTACAAGATCCGTCTCATATTCATGAGAAACCACCGGTGGAGATCCGTGAGGACTTGCAATATGCAGTGGAACCGGTGAAGATTGTGGGTCAACAGGTAAAGAAATTGAGGAACAAGGAGATTCCTATGGTGAAGGTTCTACGGAGGAGTGATCGAGTCGAGGAAGAAACATGGGAGACCGAGTTCTCAATGAGGGAGCAATACCCGTTTCTTTTTTACTAGACGCATGGATTTCATGGACGAAATTCCAAATAGGGGGGGGGTGAACTTGTAACACCGTCCTCAATTATATTTACCTTTATGTAAATAATGTATTGAACCTTATGAAATGGTTAATGAATTTACGGGGTTGTAATTTTTGTTGTTACTTTTGCGTGAATAGTAAATTGCACGTGGGGCCCACATCGGGAGCGGGGACCACCCTATATTTCTGAAACCACATATTATATTCATCTTGGGCTAGATAATATGTATATGGTGGTGGATATCTTAGTTGGGCCATAGAAAGGGCATAGTATTGACCGGTTGGTCAAACAAGGCCCAATTGCCGGTATTGGTAATTTATCGGATAACAGTCCGAAATGGGTTTCGGAGACCTCTAAATTAAAGTTGAGGAAGGTATATTCATTCTAGGGACCCATATGGGTTGAGAATGTGTGATATATTTTATTTGACTTGATAAAATAAAATATAATTACAACAGTCCGAGAAATACAACTTTCGGGGCCGATTGTACACTATTGGACTTAAAGGGTTGACCTCCCACATGAGTGGGGGCCAACCCACGAATTTGGACACACAAGACAAAGCTTGGACCGGCTGGAAGGAGAGGAGGAAGGTGGGAGATGTTGGGGTTGATTAGCAAAGCATCTAAGGACATGAGGTGGGCTCCTCATCACACACTCATTGAGTCAATGAGACAAAAAGGCTATCATCACCCCTCCCCCCCCCCCTCATTTTCGGCCAAGCACACCCCAAGCAAGAGGGATAAGTTCTGCAACTTCATTTTCCTCCATAGTCAAGTGAGCTCAAGAAGACAAGGTCCAAGGAGGGAGATTAAAGAAGGAAAAAGTTAGGGAAAAGTGTGGTGATTAAGGAATTTGTCTAAGGTGTACCTAGAGCTTTCACGGAGTTGAAAGAGTCGCCGGAGTTATCGCCGGAGTTTGACAAAGTTCACCGGAGCTTCACCGGAGTTAAACCGGGAAGTGTAGAACTTCTTAAAGCTCATTCAAGGTGAGTGGATGGCTTAATGTCTTGTAACTCTTGGGTTAAGAATGAGATTACCTAAGTAAATGCAATATGTGTTCATAATGATGTTTAAAATGGTTTAAGCATGTGATTGGCCATGATGATTAGGCTTATGTAAAATGAACCATGATGATTATGCATGAAAAATGATATGAGAATGATATAGAAGCATGTGTGATGTCTTGGATGGCCAAAATGGCAAATATTGATTGTTTAAGACTTAATTCATGTTTGGGTTAAGTTTCGGATCAATCAGAGTCGGTTCGGGCGGTCAACGGGCCATTGACCGCAAAGAAGAAAGCGAACCGGCGCCGGTTTAGGCTATAACCGACGCCGGTTTGAGTACGGGGCATCCAAATTAATTAAATTAAATATGAACCGGCGCCAGTTTGGGCTATAACCGGTGTCGGTTTGGTACTGTTTGTCCCGAATGTTGATTTTTGTGCATGGACTTGCATGGATTGTTATGCTTAGGCTATAAGACTTGATTTAGCCTATATAAAAGATTATGAAATAGACCATATCTAGATTGATATGAGGTAGATCATAGGAATACATATGGTGGAGAACTCAAGGACTAAAGAGTCCTCAAAACTTATATGCATATGGTGGAGAACCCAAGGACTAAAGAGTCCTCAAAACTCGGAATATATATATTTCGGTGGAGAACCCAAGGACTAAAGAGTCCTCAAAACTTATATGCATATGGTGGAGAACCCAAGGACTAAAGAGTCCTCAAAACTCATATGTACATCGGTGGAGGACCCAAGGGCTAAAGGGCCCTCAAAACTCATGGTGGAGGACCCAAGGACTTTAATGTCCTCAAAACTCATATGTATGAATGGTGTAGAACCAAGGACGACGGTACTGTCCTCAAAACTCGGAATATGAATTGATTAGGACCACGAGGAGTCCTATACACTCATAGGTATATGGATGAGTTGGGATTTGAGTCAAAGATATTGACTACTACTATTTTCCCAAACAAACAATGACCAAGTATATATATATATACACACACACACACACATATATATATATATATATATATATATATATATATAACAAAGTGTAAAGTTTGCACATTTTCATTTTTTGCTTGCACTTTTTCTCGCTTTCGTTGCACTTTTTCGCAGGAGCTCAAAAGAATTGGTGTTGATGGATAGTGTACCCGAGGGGTAGCTTATCCGAGGGGTTATTACGGGGAATAACTTAGAGAGAAGTCAGAGCAAGTAAGTAAAAGTAGAGAGAGAGTGTATTCAGTGTGAATGCCGTTTTCAGCGTGGTTACAAATGGGGAAATGAGGTGCTATTTATAGTAGCAATAAATGTCGGGCAGGGACATGTGTCAAGCGCTCATTGGCCGAGGGGTCACCTCAACTGGTTGGCGCTGGCAGCCGCATGTGGCCGCATTTAATGCGGCTGTTGGATGGGACGTCTGTGCAGGGTACGGTGATCTGTACGCATGTGAGGCGGATATCTTGTCGAGTGAGATGCCTTCGGCCACAGAGCAGTAGCCGAAGGCTCCTCCAACCGAGGGCACCTTGGTGCCGAGGGCTCACAGTACCGAGGGCTACTGTTTTCGCCGTTTTCTCCCAGTTTCTTAGTTTGCTTGAGAAACCCGTTCTGTGAGAGTTTAGAGCCTTCGGCCAGGGGGCCGAAGGCACCCCTGGCGCGTAGTGCGGGCTGCTTGGCACTCTGGGCGCTGTGATTTGGGCCTGCTGGGCCTTCTGGGCCTGTTGGGCCTTCGCTGGAGTAGTAGGAGTCTGTGGGCCGGGGGTTCCCGGGCCATATACTCCATCAGGAGTCCCTCACTCCTTTTGCCGATAGGTACTTGAGGGAAAAGGAGTAATTTGTGCTTGCCCTTTGATGTTGTCCCGTCATGATCTCTGAAGTTGGTGAGGAGTTGTTGCTTTTATGTCCCTGCCGAAGGCAGTCCCTCAGCTACCCACATGTCGGGACTTGAGGGCTTGCCTTGTCGTTTGTTGGAATTTCACTGATTTTGTAATTTAATGATTTTCCCGAGGGGGTCCTCCAGTCCCCCACTCCTTGAGGCACTTGTAAAGTGGTGAAAAGGAGTAAAGTAGTTACGTTGCTGTTGTGGGCCGAAGGCTGACGCTTTTCGTTTCATTTTGGAGGGATGCCTCGTTAAAAACCTCATTAGGAAAAACCCTGAGGGAAAAAATCCTAATGAGGGAAAAAGAGTGCACTTATGACATTTAATTGAGATAAAATGACACTACTTATGGGGATGACATAAGTGACGTTTAATAAAAAAGAAAAGAAAACTAAACTAAAACTAAAACTAATCCTAAAACCAAACCTACGTACCTGCAGATTTCAATACTAATTGAACTAAACTACGTATCTAGACAGTTTGTAGGTTACATACATGTACTGCGCATACATGTACTTCACATGCGATAAACTGGAAACCCTAGCTCCTAGGAGGATCGGCTAAGCGTATATATACCAAGTACAATATACGCGCCGCTACAGAAGAGAAACGGATACACTCCGTATATACATGCGTCTTGCGACCAAGAGCGTTCAATCTAGCATATGTAAATTTCCTTACGTTCGCCGCATCACCGCTCAGGAGAGGGTAGAACCTACACCGCTAAGGAAGCGATCGATGATTGCCTACGTCAACGCTGCAGATCGCTGGAAAGAGAAGAGTAGAGCGTCGCCGAAGAGAGGGAAAGCCTGAGAATATATGTAAAATTATATACACGATCTATCGCACTGCCCTACACCAGTTTTCCACGTTGCTGTCACGAAAGTTTTTCTGGGATACAACCGCCGGACTGCGTCGTCGCCGGAAGGAATTAGAAGCTGCGCCGTTCTGCGTCGCCATCTTCTCTGGAGTGAAGATGCTGCTGGATGAACAACCACCACCGGAAGGAGAACCACCAGGGATCAGCCGTGCTCGTCTACGTCACCGAAGTTGCTGGAGAAGATGATCTCCTACGCAAGTACGACTCTGTTCCTCATATTTTACTCCGTACTCTGTATTAAGATGAAAATGGGCTGAGTTATTTTATGTTTTTCGTTTTCTACATAATCATGGGATGATCATACTGGCCTAAATGAACTAGATATTTTGACTCATGAAAAGTGTAATTCGTCACTTTCAATTACTATTACAAGTAAAAAAAAATTAAGCGGGCTATTTCAAATAAACATGTTATTGAACGGATTACTTAAATTAACAAGACTTTTATAGTATAGGTTTGACTAGTAAAATACAATAAGTTAAAAAATAAAATAAAATAAGAAGTGACTAATTATATCATCTTAATTAAAAAGGTGAATATTTAGAGACCGGAATTGAGGAAGAGAATTAGGAGCATCAGGACTTAAGGTAAGTTTCTCTGTCAATCCAAAATTGTTTCCTCGTATTATATGCTTATTATACATTATGTGATTAAGTGTGAATTGTAAATTTTGCGTATGTGATTTTGAGGAGATATTATATATATGGTGGTTGAGAAATATAAATCAAGTACTTTTGGGGTATTAAATATTTTTAAATATCTTCGAGACTTTTTAGAGAAATTAAGAAGTATTTTTGAAGTATTATTAAGCGAAGATAAAATTTACATTTTCATAAGAAGTGAGCATCTCAGGAGTAATCCGAGGTGTCGGTTTTTCCACATCCGGATAAATGTGGAGGGTGATTAGAGCTACTACTACTAAGAAGTACAGTTTGGATCTATGATCCCTTTTAAGTAAGATTTGGATCTATGATCCCTTTTAAGTAAGATTTGGATCTATGATCCCTTTTAAGTGAGATTTGGATCTATGATCCCTTTTAAGAAGAAATTATAGTAGTAGTCCCTAATCATTCAAGAATTTTAGAATTTGGGTGGTTGGGTTCCGACCACTCGGGATGACTTACTACTCGGAGGGCTTGGAATCCCTTTTAGGGGGTGTGCACACTTAAGGTAGTCGTTTCGTTTCCAACAGAGCAGTTGTGGTACCGGCACTTGTTCGGGGTGGCCGTCCGTAACCACGGTCCACTGGGCTCTACCGAAAGGTTAAGCACCGCCCTTCTAAATTACTAGGAAGTTAGAGAAGAAGTGATTTCCTTAAGAAGTTTAAAGAGAAGAAGTACTAAGAGATTTTCCAAGAGAAGGTTAAGATTTTAGCAAAGAAGTGATTTTAAGAAAAATCAAAGAGAAAAGTATTTTGGTGGAGTGCGTCATTTTTATATGATATTATATAAAAATCTATTTTTAGTCAAACCTGATTATTTTACGGGGTTGGGTAGTACTTACTTAGCTCTAAAGCTAATTTTTATTATTTTTCTTGTCTCTCTCTTCTCCCTTAAATTTTATGAGGTGATGAGTTGGATACCTATGTGGATTGACGGATTGCTCGAGCTTGAGTGCGAATTAGAAGATGCCTTAGTTAAATCTAGTCATAAAATAAACATTTACTTATCATTACATTAGTTTTTGTTGTTTTACTTTGAGTTGCCTGTGCATTCGGTTAAGAGATGACCGAATGTGGCGGTAACACTCATTTCCCTATTTTAGACTTCCGCTGTATTTCTTTAACTCTTTGATGAATGAATAAAGTATTTCTTTTAAATATATCATTGTTTTTGGGCGGGAAATTTAGGGGTGTTACAAATGTTGCAACTTTATCTGATTCACTCGATAAAAGTTCCACTTTTATAACATGTTATTATTATTATTATTTTTCTTTTTTTTTATAAACTATTCATTTTACTTAAATTTTTGGAGTGTCACAGAAAAACCCTGGGGGAAAAAATCCTAATGAGAGAAAAAGAGTGCACCGAATTCCCCCAATGATGAATCGAAAATGTCAAACCTTGGTCAAAAATGGAGAATAACGGTAATGCCGAAGGCTCTTCTTTTCCTGAGGGCTCATGTATTGATCAGCCGAAGGCTTGCTGTTGATATCCTGGGGGTGCCGAAGGGGAGCCCCTCAATCCGGGGATCGAGGGCCTGCTGGATGAGGGCAGTAATTTAACTGTCGCCGGGGGGTCCACTGTTTGTTGATTACTTGATGATGAAGATACCCGAGGGCTCCCATTACCTGTGTGCCATGGGTTATCCGTCAATGAGGTAACGCCCCGGGGGCTACCCGGTTTTGCAGCGCTGAGGGGGAATCCCCGAGGGGTGCCCTGATATGAAGCCCTGGGTTTCTGAGGGAGTGATCCCGAAGGCGCCTGTTATGTGTTGTGTGGGGCACAACCCGAGGGCGCTTCTGGGTAAGTGTACCCGGAGGCTATCCTTGATGAAGTGGAGTGAATTAAAAAACCCGGGGGCTTCCAGAATATAGCCGTTGGGAATATAGCCGTTGGAATATGTAGTGTCAGATTTATAGCCGTTGGAATATGTAACGTCAGGTTCATAGCCGTTAGGGGGGGTACACGTGGCGTGTGATGGCTGGCAGTCCGTGGGCAGCGTCACCGGTTGGGTGAAGACGCGGTGTGTAATGATGGCGTCCATCCGGAGGCCCGGTTTCCGGGCCCAAGCCCGGATTCCAGTGCCTATAAATACCCCAAGGCCAGGGCCATTCCTTCTTGTGCGATCATTTGTCTTAGCGAAGCTCTGTCGAAAATTCTAGAGAGAGAAACTCAAGCCTTCGGTCCTAAATTCAGCTTTCAAGGTCAGTGCCCCCTGCTTTTCTCCTTCTAGTTTAGCCGTGCATTGTGCCCTCGGGTTAGGAGATAGAATTCCCTAGAAACCTTAGTTCCCCCGAACCCTCGAGCTAGATTTAGAATGTCGTCCCAGAGTGACTCTCAGGACATCTCGAGGACCCCCTCGGTTCAGGACGAAAGCATCTCCGACATGGAGTCTAGTAGCAGCCAGCCCTCGGGTGGTGGTGATGCAGCTCTCGCCACCGAGGTGCAGAAGGATCTGGTGGCCGAGGTCGAGGCGGAGGAGTTCGAGCGAACCGCCGAGGATGAAGAGTTGGCCCTCGCCGTCCAAGTCGCTGAAGAGGAGGAGGAAAAGTAGAGGGCGAAGGTCACTGTCGCTGTTCTTCCCCCCGGGGTTCAGGGGAAGCAAGTAGCTCGAGGCCACTGGACCCGACGCCTCTAAGTGTAGCCCCCGGGAAGAAGAGGAGGAAGACGAAGGCTGGCCCCCAGAAGAAAGTAAAGGCCGTCGATCAAGGGGGGCCAGTAGATCTGCCGGAGGGTTACTCCTTCCTGGACACCGCCGCTCTGGAGATTAAGTCCCAAGCTGACAGTGCGGACATCTACATCACCCAGTTGCACGTAGGGCCCTCGGCCGTAGTAGTCGAGCCAGGTCCTGATGACGTGTTGTCCTGGCCTCCCGAGGGATGTATAGCCGTGCATGTGCTCTCGGTTTCAATGGGCCTCCGGTTCCCTCTCCATCCTTTCCTCCGGGAGTATTTGAGGTACACTGGCCTGGTTCCCTGCCAACTGACCCCCAACAGCCACTCGTACATAACGGGGTTCGTGAACCTGTGCAAACTCCGGAAGGTTACACCGAGCCTGGAGTTATTCTTCCAAAGCTTCAACCTATACCGGGGGGCATACAAATGCCGAGGGCTATGCAAACTTACAGCAGATAGCCCAGTTCAAACTGTTCACCGAGGCCCCTTCTTCTAATAAAGGGTGGAGAGAGCGATGGTGCTATGTCAGACTGGCTGACAGCCCTTTCCCGAGGGAGTTGCGGAATCGCTTTCGGCGCCACGTGAAGGTCAAGAGTGCCGCCCTCGAGAAGGATGGCCTGAAGATCGCCAAGATTCCGGAGGGTCGGGATAAGAACATAACAATCAAGGAGTGCGTCCTCGAGGAAGACCTACATGCCCTCGGATTCCTGAGGTATCGGTTCATTGGGGAGACTGATGAGAAGTATCCCCTCTATGATAAAGCCTTCGTGGGAGCAGGAGGTAGTGGCTGGGGGCTTTACATTTTTGTACTTAGAGATTTTCTGTCATGTTTGTTGTCGTGTCTCTGACCCCACGGTTCTAACCTTTCAACTTGTTGCTGTCGTTCTTTGCAGGTAGCAGGATGAATGCCAACGCCTTGTTCGCGAAGAGGAAGGCAAGACCCAGCCAAAGGAGAACGGGCCCTCGGGCCAGAAGCCAGTTGACGCGCTTTTTCCGAAGGTCATAGAGCCTTCCGCCGGGGACGCCCATGCTGCTGTGGGGACCGGGGGGTCGAAGGCCGAGGCGGCCGTTAAGAAAAAGAGGAGAGATAAGGGGGTGGAGCCCCCTGCCAAGAAGCAGAAAGCCGCCGTGGGCGCCGTCGAGGGGGCGGCCCCTCTCATAGTTATTGATGACACGCCCGCCGCTGATGGGCCCCTAGCCTCGGTCACCCCGAAGGCTCTGGTGAATCCATTCCCGGAGGAAGTACCCCGGGAGATCCGTCAGCTCTCTTTTGCCCCCGGCGCTTCATTAATGCACGACACTGCCGAGCCGAGGGCCTTCCTGCGGGGCATCACCTCGAAGATGGACAGGGAAGTCTTCGAGACCTACGATGATGATGCCCTCGAGAACAGGATCCTCCGGTCCTCGCTCACTGTAAGTATCTGCTTCCTTTTTCCTTATCTTATCAGTTTAGTATTATTTTTTCCTGAGGAACAATCTAACTCCTTTGATCATTGTTTGCAGGCCTGCATAGCCCTCGGGGAACAGGCTCGGAGGCGCGAGGAAAGGCGTCTTCACGAGGCTGCCCAGGATAAGAAGGTGGAGGGGCTGATCCGCAAGAACTCCGAGGCGGTGAAGCATGCTGCCCAGCTGGAGGAGGCCCTTCGGGAGGCGAAGGCGGCGGCGGAGAAGGCCAAAGCTGACGGCATAGCCGAGGGCAAGGCGGAGGCCGAGAGGGCTGCTGCCGAGGCGGCGAAAAAAGCTGCCGAAGAAGCCCAAACTGCCAAGGAGAGAGCTGCGGCCGAGGCCCGAGGGGAGGCAGTTGCGGAGTTCCTCGCTGAGGGCTGGAGGGCCGAGGGCCACAAGGAGTGGGTGGCCTCCGTGGTGGCAGCCTCGGTGGACGCTTGGGTAGAAGGCCCCGGGGTTGACTGGCTGACTGACAGGGGGGACGCCTACTACCAGGGGGTGAGTTCTTTACCCAGCACCTGATCTACCGGAGGCTTGCCAGGCACTTTGGCGTGTCCCTCGAACAATTCGACCCCTCAGCATATGGCCTCCCTCCGTTGCAACCAGATGTCAGAGTTCCCCTCCCCCCGGGTGAAGAGCGGCCGACAATCTATGATTCTGTGATGATGGGGGGTGATGGGGGTGGAGCCGTCGGGGGTGATGCTGCCGGAGAAGAAGTCTCCTCCAAGGCTGTCGTGGAAGATGCCCCCGGAGACAACGAGGCTGAAGCCGCCGAGAAGATTAGTACTTAGTCAATTTTTGAAAAAGCTTTGTAATGAACATTTGTCACCCCTCGGCTTTGGCCATACTCTGTAACAAACACATTTGAATCCCTTCTTTTTGTTGAATGAATGATTGCCTTCGGGCCTTGTACATGTGGCTTGTTTTTTCTAATTCTTGCAAGTGGAGCCCCAGCTGAAATATTGAATAGGCCAGGGGCCAATTCTTTAGGACTTAGAAAATTTTCTTGAATGTCGATTCCTTGTGCACTGTAGCCCTCGATTGATAGGTAGCCTTCGGCTATTGGGTCCCTTTATAAGTTGAGGGTGAAATATGTAGGACTTAGAAAGATTTCTAAGTGTAGATTTTCCCTTGGGAGCCTTCGGGAGATGGCATCCCTTCTTGATGTATGAGTAGTTGACCGGGGGAAAAACATGTGCGACTTAGGAAATTTTATTAGTGTAGATTTTCCCTTGGGAGCCTTCGGGAGATGGCATCCCTTCTTGATGTATGAGTAGTTGACCGGGGGAAAAACATGTAGGACTTAGAAAATATTCTAAGTGTAGATTTTCCCTTGGGAGCCTTCGGGAGATGGCATCCCTTCTGATTCCACATCACTTTGCGAGATGCCCGGGGGCTGCTCATTTAGGACAAAATATTTTTTAAGCGTTGTTGTATTGCCTGGCCTTCGGCTACCATATTCCCTTGGCAGTAATATTGATTGGGCCGGGGCCCAATCTTTAGGACTTAGAATTTTTTCAAGTGCTGCTTCCTTGTGTAGCCTTCGGGTGATAGGTGCCCTCTGACTCTACATTACTTTGCGTAAATTGATGTTGAATCCTGTTGTTGTGAAGAAAGCCAATGAGGAGTGTGTGCCCTCGGCATACACTCTGAAGAGTTGTAGAGTTTGACTCAACCAGTTGTGTCCCTTGTAATGGGGTAGGGGCCCTCGGTATTAATGCATAACAGCTGCCTTCGGTACATATTTGAAGGTACCGTCTTAGTGTACTTTGGATAGTCCAGTCCCTTTGTATTGTTGAAGCCTTCGGTGTTTGTGTGACCGGAGGTGACCAGGCAGTGGACTTAGCCGTTCCTTGCTGCTATTTGTTCGAGTAGTATCCTTCGGGAAATAGGAGCCTTCAGTTACCGGAGGTGTTCCCGTGGGGAGCCCTCGGCTTGTTGTGATCTGTCGGAGTGTACTCTTTGATTTCTCGCTGAGTCTACTCCCCTTCACCCCCCTTTTTTTTTTGGTTGGTGGTGAAGGGAAGGCATCAAGAAACTTGGTTTCTTGGTAAGGCTGGGCCTATTAGGAGACCATCAGAATACACCAATGGCTCTCCTCCCTCGGGTTAACCTTCCGAGTTCCGAGGGGATCGAGGGACGTTTCCTGGGCACAAGATATGGTGGTCCGTAACCTGCCTCCCCTTGGGGGATGGCGCGGAAAGCGCCTCATTTTTGAAAACACGTTGGTGTTGATGGTGTCCGCCCTCGGCACTTGGTGCCGGAGGGGGTTCTTCTCGTGGTGAGGCCGGGGGCCTGTAGTCAGTATGAGGGCTTGATGTCTTGAATGTATCTTCATTCTTCGAAATTGGAGGTGTAACACCCCCATTTTCCCCAACAAAAAATACATTTAAATAATGATTTATTCGAAGGAATTATCAACTTTATTTGAAAACATCAGAGATACAGCGGAAGTCTTAATAGGGAAATGGGTGTTACCTCCACACTCGGTTCTCACATAACCGAATGCACAGGCTAAACCACCATCCAAAAATAATCCAAGTATTTAAGTACTGAAAATTTCAAAAATAATTTAAATGTCTACATGTTCTCAAACTGAAATAAACAATAACTAGGTGATTATAAATACTAAACTACGTGATCTAACGCAGCTCTCATCATCATGCATAACCTTCATCACCTGCACAATTAAAGTGCAGAAAACAAAACAAAGAAAAGGAAACAAAAATTAGCTTTTTAGCTAAGTAAGGCCCACCCAACCCCGTAAAATAATCACGTTTGGCGAAAATAGTTTTATACATAACTATAACTTTAAAAATTCATTTTCTTCCCACAAAACTAATTTGGTGTTTAAAATAATATTTATAAACTCTTAGTAACTCACACATTCATATACAAGTATCACTTTTCAAAATATAATTTATAGCTAATCACTCTTTTTAAATATACTCAATTGCTCTTTGAAAATAACCTCCATAGTCTTCCTCTTTCCAAAACCAAAATCTCATACTTTCTTTTAAGATGGGCGGTACTTTCGGATACTTATGCCCGAAGCCCAATGAGTCGTTGTTATTTACGAACTCATCCCGGAATCAAGTTCCCATCACTATCTCTTGAATCGAAACGGCCACTAAACTTGTTCTCTTCAAGTAGTAGTAGCCCTAACCATCCTCCACATTTATCCGGATGTGAAAAACCGACACCACGGATTTCTCCCGGGGTGCTCACCTCTTATGAAAATGTTAATTTTCATCTTGAATCAAGATACACTTCAAAATATTTTCCAAACTCTCTAAATAGTCTAAAAGGTGTTTAAAAGTATTTAATACCCCAAAAGTACATAGTTTGTATTTCTCAAATACTATAGATTAAATATCTCTTTAAATAACACATATACATAATTCAAAAACTCAATACATAATCATATAGCACATAATAATCACATAGCACAGAATATTTCTCAAGTCTCCAAATATTCTCAATGGTGTTTAAAAATATTTAATACCCCAATATCTCAACTTTCTCAAATACTATAAATTTAATGTCACTTCAAATAATACATATTCAAAATTCACACTTTAATCAAATAATAGCATATAATACGAGGAAACCATTTTGGATCGGCAGAGAAACTTACAATTTAGGGTTTATCCAAAACTAGTTCCAAAATAGTATGTAATACCATATTCAAAATAATCCAATAAGGATATTTATAACTCCAGAATATATGTGTAAATTTTCATACCAAATTATACATTTAAAAATATATAATTTATCCCAAAAGATTTGATCTCACAACACTTTCCAAAAAGAGGGTTTAACCCAAACAACCACTTCCCAAAAGTAGCATTTACTACTACCACCAAAATAATCAAATTGGAGTATTCTGAACCCATAATATATTTTCAATATAACCAGTTATAATAGTCTCAAATCATACTTAAACTCATACCAAAACAATCACCAAAATTTTCCAATCCCAAAAGAACAATCATCAAAAATTACAATTTTAGCCATGATAAACTGATTTGATAAATTCACCAAAAATCACACGTTCATAAATTCCCAGAAAAGCATACATAATCATACTCATACTATTATAGCCGAATTATCCATAAAATTTCAGAAATAAACTCAAATCATAGCACAAACCCTAGTTTATACAATATAGGGGTAAAATAGCAATTTTGGTTGCAATAGTCCTTACCTCGAGGCTAGCAACGAATCCTAAACGTCAAACCTAGTTTGTTGGATCATTCCCACGTACCTAGGAAGTGATAGGTTCGAAGTATCTCAATTTAGGAGAAAGAAATTTAGGAAACGGATGAACGACGCGAATTAGGCAACAAACGCACTTACCGGAATATTGGATTGTTTGATCTCATCATTGACATAAAATTTCATGCTGGATACGTTAATATTGAAGAGCTGTAAGGGATAGATCTTGAAGAGGCGGTCCTAGGGTTTTTGGAATAAGGAACATCGGATTAGGGATGTATTTATAGTGAATTTCCGAAGTTTGAGTTGCATTAGGATACAACAGGAACGCACGCGTGCGTACCTTCTACGCACGCCGTGCGTGACCCCCAGACGCCCCAAACCTTAGTTTTTACATCGTTTCTTCCCCATTTGGACCTCCCCTTTGTCCCAAACACTAAACCAAACATAGTAAACGACCTAAAGACCGTGTAAACAATATGAAACACAATTTTAATTATTTCCCAAATTCTCTCAAATTTTCAGGGTATTACAGGAGGCCTTGGGCCATAGGATAGTACATTCACTAGTTATGAGGGCTTGGCCGCTCTTACATTATTGATAAAATTTAACTAAATGGTGTACATTCCAATGCCTGGGGACTTCTTTCCCGTTGGGGCGTTTGAGCTTGTAGGTCCCAGGTTTGATGATGGCTGCTATGATGTAGGGGCCTTCGAATTTTGGTGCCATTTTTCCTCCCTCGGTTGGTTGGCTGGCTTCCCTCCTCCGGAGGACATAGTCCCCCACTTGAAATTCTCGGGTGCGAACTTTGGCGTCGATGTAGCTTTTAACTTGCCTTCGGTAGTTTTCTGCCCGGATGAAGGCCTGCTCCCGGCGTTCTGAAATGAGGTGGAGGTCGAGGGCCATGTTGCTGTCGTTGACCTCGGGGTCATATTGGATCACCCTTCGGGTGGGAAGGGTGACTTCCGTAGGAGCTTTGGCTTCAAAACCGTAGCAGAGGGAGAAGGGTGTTTCGCTTGTTGCTCGCCGAGGGGTGGTGCGATAGGCCCAAAGGATGTTGTGGAGTTCTTCCACCCAGCCACCGCCCTCGGCCTCTAGCTTCTTTTTGAGGCCCTCGAGCAAGGTCCGGTTGGCATTCTCTACTTGCCCGTTGCCTTGAGGGTAGGCAACGGAGGAGAAGGTGTGTTTGATGCCCCATGCCTCCAGGAGGGCACAGAAGGGGGCTGCCTCAAATTGTGTCCCATTGTCGGAGATGATCTGCTGGGGGACGCCAAACCTTGTGAGGATGTTCTTGAGGACGAAGTGACGGCACTTCGCCTCTGTGATGTTGGCGAGGGGTTCAGCCTCCACCCACTTGGTAAAATAGTCGACGGCCACAATGATGTATCTGTTGTTGGAGGTACCCCTCGGCAGAGGGCCCACGAGGTCTATCCCCCATCGAGAAAATGGGACAGAGGTGCTGATGGGGGCATAGTTGACCGCTGGCCTGCCGGGAGCTTTCTGGAAATGTTGACATGCGGTGCACCTCCGGGCAAGGTCAGCACAATCCCTGGCCATGGTTGGCCAGAAGTAACCCTGGAGAATGAGCCTTCGGGACATGGAGAAGGGTCCCTGGTGAGCTGAGCAAGTGCCACTGTGCACTTCCTCCATTGCGACCTCGGCTTCATCTGGATGAAGGCACCGAAGTAGCGTGCCATTGTAAGATCGTTTGTAGAGCCTTCCATCTTCGATGGTGTAGCTAGGAGCCCTCAGCTTTGCAGTTTAGAGCGGGCCTCATTCTCGGGTAGCTGCCCTGTGGAGATGAAGGTGGTGATATCTGAGATCCAATCCTCTTGACGTTGTTGTATGTTCATAACGGGGCTCGCATGGATGCTTGAGAGGCTGAGTTCCTCGATTTTGGCAATTTTGGAGATGTGCTCGGGGGAGTCGGCCGAGAGCTTAGATAATATGTCGGCCTCGGAGTT